ATTACTACAAATGGAATGGTTTTTTGTTAGACTTTTTTCTAGTCAATATAGAAAAGAAAAATAGAACTGGGGAAAAATCAATCTAAAGCTGATGATGTGGTTTCTGTTATTGCATTGAAGGACCGTATCAGACTGTCAGCGCTATCTGAGCAGTCCCTGCTTTTCCTTCACCCTTTTTTAACAGCTAAGGTTCCTGATCAAAGGACAGTATGACTTCTCTTCCTGATGCAGAATCTTCTAGGCCAAACTCCTCTGAGGCCATAATAACCAAGTACCACAGAAGCAAACGGTCATATAGGTGTGGGGAACCTGGATCCTACAGTGTAGTTGAAAAGCTCTTCGCCCCCTTGGCTCTGCTTCACAGATACCTTGTATTATTGCAGGTTACTGACTATTGCCTTTTTCTCCTTGAGCTGAGGGAGTAAGAAAACCAGCAAGGACACCTCCGTTTCTTTGGAGTGACTTTCCCTTTCCCAAAGATTCCCCCTCTAGCAAAGGGATTTTTACTGGCTTTGCCACTTCGAGTGTCTGGCTTCTAGTTAGGTCTTCAGCATGAAGAAGAGCAGCCTCTGGGCTGCTTTACCTCATGCCTTGTCAACAGGTCCCAGAGGCTGTTCTTACAGCACAGGGTCTGCCAGAGTGCAGGGATGCTGGCGCTCAGCCTTTTCCCACAGATATGCTGGGTGATGGCAGTAAGCTTGCTGGCATCAGTACAGAGCAGGGGGAGTTGTGCAGGGTTTTAGATCTGCTTGGCTTCAGCAAGTCAGCACCAAAAGTGGCTGCAGCTCAGCTAAGCATCTGAGTCAGAGCGTTCGACGTTTGCAGCTTTGTTAGGATGCAGTAATCTGTTTGATCATGCCTTAGGCTGAATTCCATCTGGCCAGTGGAGCTGCTGAAGGAGGATATTATTGTACATAGATGAATTTGAGGAGAGGTCTCACAAGCTTCACTAATGGGTCCAGTTCAGCTGGAGTTCCTCATGGTGTCTAATCTCCACAGCAGGCAGAATTGGGCACAGGCATTAAAGAAAGTGCCAGCAGGCTTCTCTGACTTGCCTTGCAGTATCAGTTGAGATGCATCAGTGCTAGAAACAAGATCTCATCCTACAGCTAGACCATGCTCTGTTCCACAAAATGATGAAAGTGAATGGAGAGAAATGGGAATGTTATTGAATCTAAACAGTCAACAGATCTGGGGTCAAGAATACTGGACCCATATACTACAGTCTTCTCTCCTGGGCCATGGAAGTAAGCGAGCAAGGAGTAGAGAGGGTATAGACACAGTCACACCCCTTCTTTTCTTTGCACAGTTTGGTGGATTTGGGGGACAGGAATGATATTTTGTAATGGACTAATTTGATTATGCTCTTTTCTATCAGTGGATGTTTCTTGGGGCAAAGCTTTCCTGACCTTTTGCTCAAGGTAATGTGTTGTTAAACCAGCCGCAAGCCACCTTTGAGCCAAAAGGTACCTGTTAACACAGGTGTTAATAATAACAGATTGTCTCAGAGCAGTATTTTCAAAA